TCACAATTCAATAAGTATCAGAGTGGTGCAAAAGTAATGCGCATTCGCGAGTTCTCACTTTGACAGGCTATAACTTTCTAAAATTTTTATACATTTTTTAATGCGATCAAAATTATTAGAAGCAGCAAACTTTTCGCTACACAGCGCACATTTACCTATACCCATATCCCGTGTCATATACCCATAAAATATGGATTGATAAGAACAAACGTTTTTTTCCGAAAACTCGTTTTTGACTGATCATAACTCTTTTTGAAAGTTGTTAGTATAAAAGGCAATTAGCCAGTTCTGTAGTCGCAAACCAGCAGTACAAAAAAAGATGGAAAGAGCTCAGGCAAAGAAGATTTGCGGAATGGAAGAATCAAAATAGAGACGGTAGAGTGTATATAGTGTAGACATTTTCTATTATATACAATAGCTAAATTTTCAAAAGGACACCTTCATTTGCGCTTAAATTTTGTCCAAAAAAGTATTCGAGTGCGGGTACATGTCACGCACTCCTTTGTGTGTGTTGTCGCCGCTCGCTGTTCAAGCCTAATTATGATTATTCAACCACATATTTTCAAATAAGCAATTTAATGTGGATCTGAAATCGCGCATGTATCAGCCCATCACATTCTGTCTCACTTGCATGAATAACTTTGACGAACGTATGGCCGATTTGGAAAGAATAACTTGCTTGTTATACCAACTTGTGAGAAAAAGAATTTGGGCATTTTGTGTTTGTGAGTTCTATAGAAAATCAGATATTACTGAATGAAGGCAGAAATTAGCTTCGCAATGCTGTGACCTACTGCACAAGCAGTAATTATTAGGATTTTTGCTTTCTTTCTTCTCTTGATATGTTTTTGCCCTAAGACTATCCCAACTAGACCATGTCATGATCTCTTCTTTTTTTCGGTCAAGGGTTCCATCTTCAGAATTACCGTATCTGGTAGTGCCGACTTCTGATACTTCACTTCAATTTACCAACTTGATGGGTACACCTCAAACACATATACAGTAAAAGTGATAAAATGAGCTGTCTGTTTTGACGGCATGTCGCTTTGAGTGCACAGTGTGTTTGCTATAGAATTGGCCGTCGGTATTTCAGTGTGACTGGTGTATTTGTTATTGTTTGTTCGTTGTTGTCTTGACTGATCTATTGGTGTTGTACTGACCTATGCGCGGGATCTGAGCGCTATATAAGGCGCGCGCTGCCTAGCTAAGTCATTCGTCTCGTCCGATCGTTATTCTTATTCATATCCGGTCCACTAATAAATACAAGTGTCCCAGACCCACCACAAGTACAAGTACAATTAGAAGGCTATAACAGAAAGACATGTGGAGGTTTAAAGCATGAGAGCTTTTTAATTTGGTTACGGATAAAAGTTAAGGAAAAGGCGGAGAAATCACGCGATAAGCAAAAAATGATAGTTTTGTCTTCTATGGACCGCACAGCTAGCTCGCCAGGACGCACGGGGTCTCTTTTGAAAAAAGTTTGTCACCTTCGATACTGAATTATTTAGTAGTTACTTCACAATTTTGACTTTGCCATACAAAAGATTGCTACATTACTATACTGAATTGTTGTAAAGAAAATATTAGGATCATGCCGAGGTTTACCGAGAGAACAGTAAATCTATTTCACAATTTTTAAACAATGTTACAACTTTCCATTCCGCACATAAGCAGCATCACATCATTGCCTTTCGCTGCTCGTAGACCATTAGTTCATTTCGGAGCAATTTTCGAATTTCTGCATTTCTATTCGAGCATTGTAGCTCAAAGACGTTTTCTCTGAAAAAAGAATTAATGAATCAGTGAAGTAGTGAGCACATTAGTGGGACTTCGGAATGAAGTAAAGGTGGGGAGACGATGCTGAAGAAAGAGGATATTTTTCTCATGGGCAGCTCAGGCATTTGGAAACTCTCAGCGGACAGCGATAGCAAGCAGTTTCAGTGGGCGGGCGGCGATAACTCGGAAAAAGTAGTGAGCGGGCAGCGACAGGCTATCAGCGGGCTGCCATAATCTTCCGTGAGTCAGAAAATAACTACAGAGCGCGTTATTGCTACAAAAGCACCCAGAAGGCGACGACAAGACAGCGATAACAGCTAGTTGGCAACGACCAGGAAGCGATGGGGTTGCGAAAGCAAGGTTTTTGTGAGCGGGTGGCGGAGATACGAGCGGGCATCGATAACTTGTATCTGGCTGGTATCGATTGATTTGTGGAGTGCTCATCTGTGCACATGTAGATAACACGTGTCTTTTGCAAGAAAGAGCACGGCGTCATTAGTCATTGATTCTTCCTGTGCGTCCGTCAGTATCCGAGCTTATCGTCTTAATCTCATCCTTATGTATCTCATTTGCTTTCCCACAGACTTTCTCTCTCTATTGCATTCAGTAATCTCGCTTAGCAAATATGGCACCACTATTCTCTTTTGATGAGATCGTGGTGCGTAGTTTGGAGAGAATTTCTTTTGTTAGCTTCTTCTCTGTATATGTCCTTTCCACGACAGTGGGTATCGTATTTTCTCCAGTTTGAATTGTTTGAACTTCAATGACATTGAAGGTTGAAGCTTAGTTCTTCGTGTTTTTGTGAGTTACCATAACTTCACTTGCTTTTGATGGTTATTGCATAAGGGATTGGGGGGAACTTCACGCGATTTCAGTCGCGACGCGATTTGGCAATATTCCAGCTGTCCGTAACTCATTGTAGGCACAATTTGAATGTACAGAAGATAGCGTATTTTATCAACCCACTTAAGTCATACACATCGTGCATGTGCAGTTTGCCAGTGCGCTTTGCTGTAATCTCGAACAATTCAGACTTCTTAAGTTTTTCTTTCTCCTCTTTTCGGTGCGAGTTTAGCGTGCAGAATTGATTTATATACAGGGTGTCCGTAAAGTATGTATACACTGTTTAATCGTTAATATCTCTTTTCCCAAGAAGTCTTTTGCCTTGCTTCGGTTACCATTTTGTAGAACTGGCTTCAACTTAGATTTGCAGTATGGAACGAATCATCCATCTCTCTTCATTACTGTAGGATTATGGCAGAAACTTGAAACGTATGGTGTCAATGTGGAAAAAGCTGCCGTTTCAACATTTTTCAAAATAATGTGAAAACTTGTATAATAGGGTTTTTATGGACGCTGAGTTCAATACTCAACTATTCACAAGGTTGCAAAACTTTCTAAACGGTGTAACCGCACTTTTTAGGAACATTGAAAAAATGGCCGCTACCTCTTACCTGGCATAACTCTTCAGTGAAGCATCATAATAAGTTGGGAACTTTACTATTAGAATCAGCAACTCTAATTAGCCTAGTGTAAAAGTTTTTAGACTGTTTTGTTTCCTTTCTGAGGCAAATAGGCTTTCATGGCTCAAAACCCTCTTTAAAGCTTCCACCGTAATCCTACAGTAATGAAGAGAGATGGGTGATTCGCTCCATACTGAAACCTAAGTTGAAGCCAGCTCTACAAAATGGTATCTGGAGCAGGGCAAAAGACTTCTTGGGAAAAGAGATATTAACGATCAAACAGTGTATACATACTTTACGGACACCCTGTATGTCACGAGCTATAGATGCGCCTTTAGGAACTCATCAAACTTTCCAGAGATAAGCCCAGAAGTGTCCAAAGAAGTCCGAAAAAGCCGAAAAAAGCCCAGAAGACCCCGAAAAAGCCTGAAAAAGCTCAAGCTCACAAGCGCCAGAAAGAGCCGAAACATTCCTGGCACTTTTGGTAGAATCCCGACATTATTCTGATGTGCGGACGACAGAAATGAAGCAAAATGACTCGATTGCGAGATCAATACACATTCCCTACCGCCAAAACTTGCGTGCGAAAGGGGCGTTCCGGCTTCTTTGGGCGCTTTTGGGCTTTTTTGGCCGCGTTTGGGCTTTTCGGGCGCTTTTGGGCTTCTTTCGAGGAAGTATGACGGGTTCCAGATTCAAAATTGTAATATAGTGCGTACTGATCCCGCCTTCCCCAAACTTTGTCCGGCCCATATGCCATGAATAGTGTTGGACTCAACACATCCATACAGGCCCAAATATATTGAAAAATCAGGGATGCGAGGCTACTTTAACCAACTGTGAGACGTTCATATAACGAAGCTCGCACCGACATCTGTAACTACGCATGGTACAAGTTACAGGGCTCCTAAATTGCAGAATCGTTTGCACCAGCTGCCGCGGGACCGCGTCGCGTCGCGTCCCGGCATTTTGCCAGCGCTGGCGCCGGCGCCATCGATAAGGCAAAGCAAACGACTCTGCAGTTTAGGAGCCCTGTATATTCATCGCCTTCATCCACTTCTTGTCGCTCAAGTCAGTTAATGAGCAATAGCGAAGAGGATTGAGAGTAGATCTTTCGTTATTTCAATTTAGTGATTTGACCGAAAGCAAACTTGTGAAGTTCAAGCTTGGTTTGTGATATGTAACTGGTACCGACTATTTCCGCGGATCAAACACGGTAAGGTAAAAGCAGTTACGCGAGTGTTGCAACTGTCGAAATATCAGAGTGTAGACCTCCCCCTTTCTCTCTGTCTCTACCTCTCTCTTACTCACTCTTTCTCTCTTCTCTACTCCTCATCATCGCGGAATTTAAAAATTTATCATTGCGGGAGACGCCGCTTTGATTTCTGCCCAGCGTGACGCCAAATGACGTTAATTCTGCGCGGGACCCCAAGTTGAATAAGATACTCGCTTAGTTGGCGCATACATAATGACTTGTCTTATCAATTCCACACTAAGTGCTTTCACATGCTCGTCGACCTTTACTTTGTACTCGGTAGCCTTTTGATGTCATCATCCACACGAACGATATCATTTCAGTACCGATCGACGCTTTCTTTCTGCAATCGCTACTAAAGTGGTCTCGAAATTTTTGCAAGTAACTCCTAGGCATGTTTCTATGGCTCTCAAAAGACGTCCCCGATACGAAGACACCAGAGCAAGAAAATGTAGAAGTGAGATCGATGCTTATGAGTATTTGCAGCTTATGACCAATCATGTTTAGAAATGTTTCATGCCATAGTGGAACACGAATATGCGAAGCTACGAACCATCTCACGCTTACGCGACAGTGCAGACAGAAAAGAATTTAGTTTGGATAAACGAGGAGACGTGATGCGAGTAGAAGCACCTCAAAATCAAGAAAGGTTCCGTGAAGGATCACCAGCTGCAGGTAAGTTCTAATTCACAGTTTATTCTCAACGCTTTTGTACTCATTTTCCAACTCAAGTCTCTTTAAACTTACATTCTCTTTTCTGGAGCAAAGAAGAGAAATGCATTGGCAAGCTATGTACCACTTCAAAGCTAGAGGGAGGGGGCAACTGAACTGATTTCTGATGTTACTAACTACTGACTTGTGAGTCGTGTGATGCGGTGCGTCTTGTGCAGATGCACATATTGGTTTGCATGACCTCTGTAAGTGTAGTTAAAGTCGAACAATTCATATGATCATGTGTGTCATTGCACACACATTCCACGTTTGGCGTTCCCATTTCGGATTCTTGGAGGAAACAAATCTTTAGGCAACAGTTTTCAATGTGTTCTTAATGTTTCCGTTCCTTCTTAGCTACGAATCACCTTAAATTGATGTAATCGAAAGCAATCGTTAACTCTCTCGCGTTTTTGCTGTTGCAAATTCAGGATGAGGACGCCAAACGTGGAATGTGTGTGCAATGACACACATGATCACATGAGATGATTTGACTGTAGACTTTCAAGCAAATAGGAAGTTGTTGGAAAACAAATTTTACGAGTTTGCCAACCTCTGAGATGCTGAACCCTTGCCCCCTCATTTCTGAGCTCTCAAATGCTTAGTGGACGCAGACTTACTGATTTCATCAAAGGTCCTCATGCTTGTAATGAGCACTTTTCTCTTTCTTCGTTTCTCCCATATGAATTGCCTATCTCATAGGGATCGGCCATACTATTCCACCGAGTCCTGCTATTCCTGCGATTCCTGTGATTTCCGCAGAGTTCCTCTGATTCCCGCACAGTCTATGCGCCTTTCATATGAGCGCGTTTGCGTTTGTGCTTTGGTGCCGCGTAGGGCAAAATCAAATGAATCAGTGACTTCGCAGTAAAATTCCTTTTCTTCTTCATTCTGAATATGAATTGATCTCGTTAACCGTGTGAAATTGTTTTGTAGGAGTCAGCGGAGGGGCGCCATCTATTCCTACAGGGGTGGCTGAGTGGCGCAGGAGCGCGTACCTTCATATCCATGCAAATTTGTCCTCAGTCGCTTTCTATCCATCAACTTGTTGATAAGGGTTTTGCGCTCAAGTCATTACATGAGAACCATGAAGTGGATGTAGACTTTTGGTTTTTTGTTGCTAGGTATCTGACTTAGCTCTATGATAAGGTGTTGGCAGATGTGTGCTCTACGAATTCTAAGCAAGCTTATTCTTTTTCTGCACGCGCTTTTTTGCGTAGATAGGGATCAAGGAGGGTTCGCAAACATGTTGGTTTATCATATCTCAACTTCTTGAGAGCTTACCCCTTCTCTCTAATGTAATGCGACTACAAACCTTGAGGAGGGTCGAAATCCAGATGCGATTTCATCACGATGAGAATAAGGAGGTCAAGACTGGAAAACATAAGTAAAAGCTTCGCCATTATCTCGCTCAATTTGGTCACCTCTAAGTCATTGGCAGCAAGCAAACTTTGGCTTAGCTTGTCTAAACTAAAACACCTTGATTCAATTTCTGTACACATGCAGTAGTGGTTTGAGCTAGTGGAAGAACTGCGCTGCCTGATTGTACAATCGTAAACTACCCTTTCAGCGGCAGTAACACGCAAGCGAGAACCGCCGGATATTTGGTGTTCTCATCATATTAGACTTCCTTGCTTTATAACACTCTTATAAAGCAATAGAATATCCAGTTTAGACCACTGTGTTGCTTATGAGCAGGCACCACGCGGTCAGTATCAATGCTAATAGAAAATTTTGTATGAAAATGCTGCAGAAATGCTCGTCAGCACCAAATCATTTATTTATTTATTTATTTATTCATACGCTCTATGGCGTTCCTTACAAAAAGAACAAGAGAAAAAAAATACACCTGATGCTCAATCAATCTCCTGAGCATACGTTTTTTCTCTGCAAAGATGTCACATTTCTTTTAGACCGAAACATTGTAATTGTTGTACTCACTTAATGAGTTGGTAGCACAAATCGTATCATGTCATACTTTGTGAACACTTTCATCTCTAAGACTTTTATCTCTCACTAGCTGGGTTACCCGGCTCCGCCCGGCCCTGTCAAAACACTATGTCACACTATCCCTACTCCTGTAAGAAACTTCCCCTGTGCTCACGCCTACATGCCAAATCACTATCCCCGCTGTTTTAGTAATCAGCATGCTCGATTACTCCCCTGTGCCAACTCCCAGCCCCGTAGCTCAAACTTTGCAAAAAATCGATAAAATTGATAGAAGTAGCGGATAATTCCAAAATCTAATCGTATTCGTAATCAGCATGCTCGATTACCCCCCTGTGCCAACTCCCAGCCCCGTAGCTCAAATTTTGCAAAAAATCGATAAAATCGATAGCGATCGATGACGAAAAGTAGCCTATAACAACCGCCGGGGCCCGTAGTGTATTTGTGACAAGTTTGGTCCGGATCGGTTCAGAAATGGAATTTTCTATTCGGAACATACGTACAGACAGACAGACAGACAGACATACAGACAGACAGACAGACAGACATACATACAAACAGACATTCAGCTTTATATATAAGATTTCATTTGTGAGCAATGAACTGGTGGAGAGAGTTTCGCATCTACTGCAACTAACCATATGAACCTAGAATGAAGTTCACAACTCCTTGTAAATACGCCTGGACCAATAAGCAGCGATGAAGGCAATGTCGCACACATGCGAGCACATGCACGCCCCTTTGCTAAAAAAGAGCGGCAAATGAAAGGACGCGGTAGCTTTTTTAAAGAATGGTTGTCAGGATCAAAACAGAAATTTCTAGCTTCTACATCGAGCTTGGCGAAAACGAAAAGGACCGCCAGAAGAAGTTAGACGAGTTGTTAGCCGATTTTGATTTATACAGATCCGAAATACTAAAAGGGATGCAGCTTGCCTTGTGAGTTTTATGGTCTAAATTTTGGTTGAAGTAAGAAACAGTAAATATTATGCAGGAGTGATATAAGATCTTATGAATACGACATGGAAAAAAAAACAGTGGCTGTCACACGCGGTAAGTGGTCGTCGAAAAATTCTTGAACTCTTATAACTCTGCAAAAAGCGACTCAGTTTATTTTCAGAAAAGAAGAAGAGCAGCACCAGAAACTAACCGAGTGATGGAACTGAGAGAACTGCAGAACCAAAACCAGGCATACCTCGCATTGTTGCTTGAGTAAGCTGTCGAATCGATTAAGGTATGCATCAAAAATCTATCAAATGGTTGGTCCTGATTATTTCGTTTGGAGCAGAACACCTCAAACCTCTTCCCGCATGAACATCTTCATTTCTCCTTAATGCTTTGATCTTGCATTTTGACTTTATCTCGTTTATCTGCATCTTGTTCTCTGTTGATTTGCTATCACCTGTTATGTTGCAGTATAGGTTGGCAATCAATGTGAGCTCATTTCGTTCATCTTTATCTTTTTCGCTGTTGAGGTATCGTTACGTGTACGTGTATTAAGACACTCTAAATGATCTTTTGAGTTGATTTCTTTCCTCTGTATCTGTTCGTCGTTGGGTTATTGTTATGTGACTTGTTGCAGTATACTAAATTACTGGAAGTATCGCACTGTTTCGGGCAATTGATTAATAAAAGATGATGCCTGGCTTGTTTATAGTGCAAGTACAGAAGGAGTAATGGATCCCGAAAAGGAGAGAGTGCGGTAAGCGGCACTGAGCGGGCTAATATAAGCGGCACTGGGCGGGCTCCTTTAAATGGCATTGAGCGGGCTAATATAAGCGGCAGTGGGCGGGATCCTTTGAATGGTATTGAGCGGGCTGCTTTAACTGGCAGTCAGCGGGCCGCTATGAAGCGGGTGATGGGGAAGCCACATGGCATTCAGCGGGCATCCACAGTGGCAGCGATACGGCCCGGGGGCTTTTGGTGGGGATTGGTGGCGGCTTTGTGGTTGCCCGCTGAGAGCTTTCAACTTTCTGAGAGAGTTGTCTCTCATGGGCTTTTCAGCCGGATTTCGAATACACAATGTTAGTTTAAGCTGGTAGCTCTCACTTTCCAGGTCCTATCCAGTGGCTTGTAAAAAGAACAGTATTCCGCTTCAATTTTTCTCCGCGAAACGATAGCGAATCGGCCCATGTGCCGCCTGTGCTAGGCTCGGTAAAATACTGAGTGTATGACTAAGCCACTGCATCAGACATAGGGAATGCAAATACTATCATCTATCACCATTAATCACCAATAGACGGTATTTTTTCTCGCAAGAAGAACAGCAACAATCGCGCCTTTTTTCTACATTAACCACTATGAACTGCACGTCTCTGCAAAACAAATAAATACGATGGTCAGGACTACATATCGTCCGCTACAAATCGCACCATGCTTACTGCTCTGTTGTTTACCGCACTGCTTGTTTTATCAGAATGTAGTAACTGTTTCGATAATTGGAGTGGGTGTAGACCTGCAACGGCGGTAAGTTCATTTGAGGGAAAAAGCACTCTTGTAGCCTCTCTGCTTCTCATGCAAAAAGCATGTTGAAGCCCTCTATTTTTCTTCACTCTGCTTCTTTTCATGCAAAAAACATGTGAAAGCCCTCTGTTTTTCTTCACACTGTGAAAAGCACTCAAGCAAATATGTTTTTTTGCGAGCTTGAGGAAGGTACAAAATTCTGAGGCGACAAAGGAATGCGCAACATTTTCATAATTTTTGTGTTTTTGATGCGTTGCAATATAAATTATGATGTAAGCTACAATGCAGCCATTTTTGTTGAATTTCGACATCGCACCCAAGAATTACGGTAGTTTTAAGGTACAAGAGAAAGCCAGAACGCTTAATGTGGTCCACGCTGGCCTTTGGTATATATTAGGTTGTCAAGAAAATAATGTCGGTTTTTATTTGCTTGCTTTAACAAAGCAACCAGACTCAACCCAACAAAGGGTAAGGGGTACTGTTCGATAGACCACAGCAAGCTCTACAAGACGGCACCCATGTCTTTGCGCCATGCTCGATCCACGGAGAGTTCGAACTCGAAATCTAAAGAGTTCCAAATACCCAAAAAATCGAAAAAAAATCAGATCTTCGTCTAATTTCTACGGAACTCAAACACGCTCACATCAATACTATCGATATCTGATAACCATATGTGCGATTGCCGTATTTTTTCCTTGGCTAGAAACTGAGAAAACGAAAATTTCCCTGATTTTCTTAAAGCAATGCTGAGCCGTTCTTGCATATGTAGTTCTATACTACAAGCCTAGGTAAGTATAAGTGCAGGTTTTCAGCCTATTTCGAGCAATACTTTTCGAGAAATGCCGATTTTAGCACTGAATTGAAACGAAATAATTCGAATTCGTTATTTTTCGAAAACTACCGCTTGGAATAAGCTGAAAATCGACAGTTATATTTACCTAAGCTTGTAGTATAGAACTACATATGCAAGAACGGCTCATGCTCTAAGAAAATCAGGGAAATTTTTGTTTTCTCAGTTTCTAGTCAAGGAAAAAATACGGCAATCGCACATATGGTTATCAGATATCGATAGTATTGATGTGAGCGAGTGGGAGGTCCGTAGAAATTATTTGGACGAAGATCTGATTTTTTTCGATTTTTTGGGGACTTGGAAATCTTTAGATTTTGAGTTCGAACTCTCCGTGGATCGAGCATGGCGCAAAATCATGAGCGCCATCTTGTAGAGCTTGCTTTGCTCTATCGAACAGTACCCCTTATCCTTTGTTGGGTTGAGTCTGGTTGCTTTGTTAAAGCAAGCAAATAAAACCGACATTATTTTCCTGACAACCTAATATTAGGTTGAACAGAAAGCTCTGTCGCACCATTT